TGCATTTGTTCAAATTCAGAACTTAACAATTTTTATTTGTAATTAATTATTTATATATATACACACACACGCACGCACACACATATATATTGTAAAATTGAAATTTGTGAGTGATTTTCAGGCTTGTAGATTTGTCTAGGGAATTTAAAAAATCTTTCCTCTAGGGCAGACCTCCAAAATTTTTTGCATCTTAGAGCACATACTGGGAACAAAATGCGCAGCATTTATTTTTCTAAGGGTAATTTATTGTTGAAATTTATAATTTTACATAATATTTTATTTAAAAGTGAAATATTTTATATAGAGATCGCACAGTCGCCATTGATAGACATCATGATGTGTGCGGCATAGGCTTTGGGATCTCTGCTCTAGAATAATTAGAAATTAGCAACTTTCTTACTGCTTAGAAAATTAGTATGAAAAAAATTTAAAATGTATCATTTCAATTTTAATTCTGGAAAAATATAGGCAAACGAAAAATAATTCCTCAAAACTCTTTTTTCAACTAAATAGACAAATAATAAGACAAGAAAATTTAAAAAAAAAATGATTGGATTAGTTACTTTCTTGTTAAAGTACTTATGAATTTTTACTCTAGCATTAAAATGTTGTCTTTTGTTGCATAAAATGTGGATAAAATACAATTCATAATTTGTGATACAAGGCCAGCTACGAATTACCGAAAAGAAATTTTCAAGGCATTCAAATTTATAAGTGATTTAAAAAAGTAAAACAAATAAATTTCGTTTTTAAATTTTTTATATTTCTGATCTTTACAACTGGATTGCTTAGGCGAACTTGAAGGGGTTTTTGAAGAAGTTGAAGATGCTCTTGTAAATTTGGAAGATGTTATTGAAATTTCGGAACTTCAAGAAAGACAACTTGATCATAGATTTCAGCTGGCAATGTACAAAGAAAAGAAATTGTCAGACTTTGAAGATATGAAAGGTATTCATAGTAATATTTAAATTTCCAGTACATATACAAGTGAAAACACTATTCCTTATTATCAATTAGCATTTTGTTCCGTACCTCTTTTGATAATATTGTTTTCTGATTCTGTGGTCATAATTTTATAATTTTGAGTTTAATTAACATAGAACTAACTGGTCTTTGTTGTAAAGAAATAGTAGGCAAAGATAAATTCTTTTGCCAAATCTAGGAATAAAGAATGAGATGGTTTCATAAGTAACTTTTCGTTTGTTAACTTTGTTAGTTGGTTTGTTCACTGGTTCCAAAACTCAAGATATTTATGAAAGCTCTTTCTATTTTTTTCCTAGGTTAGACTTCATCTATGACATTGTTTGATCAACTTATTTGGAATTCATTGTGTTCTTAATATATGACACAGTGCAAGCCTTTGCAAATATCTTAATATTTAAAAAGTTCTTAATATTTGACAAAGTGGAAGTGCAAAATCTGCAAGTCTTTTTAACTCATACTTAACTTCTAGTTAACTAAATTGAAGCTAGAATGATTGTTGACAATTTGTATGTGCAATATTCGAAAACAGTGTTCAGAATTTGTAACGGAAATCCCCATTATTTGACTCTTGGATTGCACAGTTATTGATTATCCAATATTCTTTTTCACATGCATTAAAAATGTTCCAGCACAAGTTTAATCATTTACAACTCATTGATCATGAGGCAACTGAATGCATTAAATAGATTGCATCAAAAAGTATTTATTAACGTCTGTTATTAAAAATGGAAGTGATTATTTTTATGTTACCGTCAATATGAATAGACAGTTGTTATTAATACTAACCGGTCAATATTAATAATAACCAAATTAGCCGGTTAAAGTGAATAATTAAAGCGAATTTATCACATTGACGGGTTATTATTAATAATAACCAATGAAGTTTGGTCAATATAATTTTTTGCTCGTTTTTATCGTGATCTGCCACGCCAACTACAATCGCCAAGGCGCCAAATTGATTTTAAAATGGAAAATTAACAAAAAAACATGTCGATGTTTGTCCGGGGGTGGCTACGAATTATACCCTTTGAGTTGGTCCCTTTCTGTGAGTTTTTTTTTTTTTTTTTAGTTTAGGTTCCACAGGCCGCTGCCCGGAAGTCGCTAAGACTTGGTGATTATTCTGCCACAGATCACAATATGGAAATCTCCCCTTTTTATTTCTCACTTTGACCAAAAAGAACCAGTTATTATTAATTTTGATTGGTTAGTATTATTAACCGGATTTATCACTTTAACCGTATCACGTATATAATGCGGTGTCCTTTTTCCCTCAATGCTATATAAACTGTTTAATCGCATTGACGAAACTTCAATGGTTTTTATTAATAACTGGTTAAAGTGAATATCATATTTCTCAATTTGACCAAAAGAAGCGGTTATTATTAATATTCTCCAGTTCGTATTAATAATAACCAAATTTATTACTTTAACCCTAACATATACATATATTGCATGTTATGTATTCAATTTAGCTGTGACCTTCAGTAGTCTTAAAAAATTTGCTAAAAAGCTGTTGAATTTTTTGATTAAACAAACATAAAGTGGAAAAAGTAGATGACGAAACTAATGATAATGTATGAAGTTTTATTTCAATGACCTCTAAAATCTTAGCTTGGAAAATACTTCTGATAAACCTTCCTAAATTGGTTAATTTGCTATAAGGACAGGCTGTTTATCATGGATAGCTTGACAAGGATGAATTTGTACTGTGTGTATTAAATAAATGTGATGATTCCAACAGCATTTCAGTAGTACTGCTTGGAAATTATGAGATAAGTAGCTGACCTAACTGAAAGCAATATCACTGAGTTTAATTCGTGAGTGAGCTTGTGTATTTCATGGAAATATCAAAAATATATTGACCAAATATATTAAGTGGTTTAGAAAAAGAAAGAAGCTAATATTACCTAATTACTGTTGTGACTTGTCTGAAATCTGGCTACTAGAGAAAAAAAAAAAANAAAAAAAAAAAAAAAAAAAAAAAAAAAAAAAAAACAACTAAACAGAAAATCAAAGCAATAATTATTACTGATTTATGATATTGTATCATTATTTATGATAATAAAAACAGGGCTTAGTGTATTTTTTAAACTTTATTATAATCACTACTGAAAGCTTTTAAGATAGATAAGAGATTTATTTTTGATCAAGAAAATTTCATAGTTATTTTATATGTTCAATGCATAATTAATTCTGTAAAACAAATTCTTGTTTAAAAATTCCAAATAATTCAGTCAAGTTGCTATTCAGCAGAGAACATCTTTCTGGTATGTGAAAACAATCAATGAACTATCTATCAATAATTGGAACTGCTGTCAACAGTAGCAAACTAAAAAGACATAATTACTTATATGTTTGTTACCAACTTTCACAACTACTTAATAAATTTACTCATATTTTATTATTTATTCTCTTAAAAGATCTACTTGAAAAGGTTCTCCAATAAGCTGATGATTTCAATTTTCTGACAAATTCTCATCAAATAATCAGGATTTTAATGTTCTTTAAAAGTAGAAATCCTTTACAAAAAAGAAAAATACTGTTAAAAAAATTAGCAGTTTCGGTTTTTGTGCAAAAATTATTATTTAATGAAAATATGTTTGCTATTTATTTTCACATACTGAATAGTTTATGCTTGATATTATTTCTTATTTAACTAAGCAAAAATTAATGAACTGGGTAATTATTAATTATTTTTTAACAAACTTAGGTAAGAAGGTTTTACCATTTTTGTAATTCATCAATTGTTCCTTCTTCTTTGTTTTTAGCTAAGTTAGGTGAAGAACATGCTCATAAAGTGTTTCAACATGAAAAGAAACAGAGTGCTGTTCTAAGGGAAAGGCAAAACACATTCCAAGAAGCATTTGAAGAAGAAATTCAACAATACAAAACACATGGCATTAGGGAATTGAGAAAAAGTATGTATATTTTTATTTTATTTTATTAATGCTCTACATTCATATTTTCATTCAATTTACAAATAAATGAATATTTTATTTTAAATTTTTCCAAAAAAAAGTAGATTGTAGATTTTGTAGCATGTATAAACCCGTAAAATATTTTCTACTGTTTAAAGATTACCACCCTAAATTTAAGGATTTTCCTTGTTATTTCTCTAAATAAATCAAACTCATTTATGACTTGTATGTAAACATATGGAATAACGTTCTGTTAATAATGGTTCTTCTTTAAATTATTGACTATTATGTGCTTCTAATGCAAAAAGAAATGTATATATATATATATATATATACATACATACCCTCCAACTTATGAGGATTTTGAAAGTAATTCTTTCTAGTGGTAGCGAATCAAAGTAGAAATTTTTAAAGCAAATGGATCTCTCATAAAACTTTTATCAGAACTTAAGAATCTAGCCATATGGCCTGCACTTTTATAAGTAATAGTGAACAAGTTACGCTAAAATTAATTTTTTTAAAATATTAAGACATTAATTTTGCTACCGTCTGAAAAGAAGATTTCTGAAACTACGGAAATTCCGTAGCAGTTGGAGGGTATGTATATACATAATTAGCGAATTTCTATTAATACTATTTAATGCATTGAACTATTATTTATGAATATTATGACAACTATTTATGTTATTACTTATCACTAACTTAATTTCTTTTGAATGTTTTTGAACCTATTTTAAACAGATTTATTATTTCAAAAGAAAGCATAAAATCATTGAAACTATTGAAAAATAATAAGAAATGAATAATTAAAGAAAGGAAAATTAATTAAGAAATAATTGAAAATTGAATTATTAATAAATTAACTTGTAATTTATAGTTCAAAAACAAAATTTATTTAGCTAAGGTACTAAGTTAATTCAAAAATATACAATGAATTTAATGTATCATTTATAACAGTTTTCTTATTTTACAAATGTTCACCAAACAATTTTTTATTGTAAGACATTTATATATGAGCAAGTGTGCTTGTAAGGTATTGATTTTCTTAGGTTTTGCACAATTTGATTATTTTGTAAAAAATTTTTTTAAATTATATTTTATTAAATGTTATGTTATAATACAAAATGTAATTTTAAACGAAGTGCCTTTTGCCTAAATTGTATAAGAATAGAAATATATAATTTGTAATTAACAATTACTTAATATCAATTTTCCCTGGGACTTAGTGGAATTACTAATCCAATTTTAGTCAGAGTTGGAGTCTGACATTTCCACTACCAACTCCTCTACTCATATTTAAAAATTCTTTGTATTTTTCTAATGGTTGTATTAAGCCTAACTTCTTTGCAAACATAATGTTCAATTACAATGAAATAATTGATTCGTGAAAAATGTCTTTAATAAATGTATCTGTAAATTGTTTTAATATCTGTTTCCTGCAGGTTTAATTAATTAACTTGTAGGAAATAGATATTGAAACAATTATAGATAACCTTTACAGCAGAAGATATGTATAACACAATTCTATAAACGACAATTCTACATAAACCACTTATCTCAGAAATTTCTTAACTCAATTAAAAAATTTGTGTAGCTATAAATTAATTATTTAAACTGTTAAAACATTTTACATTATTTATTTAAGTGTTTACTAAGAGGTTAGAATTTCAAGAATTTAGCAAGCCAATATTGATTAATTTGTTTGTTATTAGTTCTAATGCTCCAGAAAAAGTAAATTTTTGTTGCAAATAATAATTTAAGTTTATATTTTGGTGTTAATATATTTGTTTTTCAAAATAATTTAAAATATTTTAAGATTGATCTATTCCAAACTAATATTGCCATGTTTAGTAAATAATTTAAATGATGGGTGAAATGATATATATAAGGGGCAATATTCTGGCATTTTAAGGTTTGTTATCTGAAGATCTTCTACTGTAATTTAATAAAACAGTTTTCCAAGTATTATGTACATATTTTATCCACGTAGATTGCTCTTTTTATGCAAATTTTCAATTTTTTGATTTAATGAAAATTACTGTTTCACTGTCCAAGTTGTGAAGCATTTTTGAAAAGTGTTAAAAGGTGCTTATTTTTGATTTACGCCTTTTAAAACCCTTAAAAGTGTTATTTTTATTAGGGGTTTGTTAAATGTGCTTAATTTTCTATTTTTCAAAATGAGTTTTTTCATTGCTCTATCGATTGTCGTCCTAAATTACTAAAAAAAGCATGATTATCACAATTTTCTCTGCGATATTTATCAGAAACAAGTTGTTTGTAAAGTCTTTGAAAATGCTTAAGCATTTTGTTGATTTTGTGTTTATAAATTAAGAACTTTAAACAAACTTTTTTTTTTAATAAATTAAGAACTTAAACTTTTTTTATGTTTATAAAAAAAGAACTTTAAACATGATAGAAAGAGATTAAAAATATTTTTTGAGTGCTTATTTTTTGTTGAAAATTCTGGCTATGCACCCAGCTGTCACAATAAATTTTTGACACTTTAATTCAGAATGAATGAAGTAAAACATTCATGATAGATATAAGTTTAGCTTGTTGCCTGTTAAGTCTTGTTACTTTTGTTATGAATAGTTTAAAGAACTGATCAATACCATAGTTTTAAGAAAATTTATTAAATAAATAAAATATTTTTCATTTCATTTTTCGATTCAAGTTTAAATCTAATTCATTCTTAAACTCTTTTTAAATTCCATTACTTGGACAATTTTTAATGATATAGATATTTTGGAATTTATAAAAACAATTGAATCATCAGCTTTATAAGTTTGCAATAGACTTTTGTATTACATTGTTGAAATTTTATTTGTAATTATTTTAGGGGTTTCTAGTCAAAGTAGCGCTAACTCTGTATCATTAGAGGATATTGAATTAGATGAAGATGCTTCTGCATTGGATGAGTTCCTGGGTGATGAATTAGAAAAAGATCCTGAAATAGAAACAGAACAAATGATTGAAAAAAGCTCTGAATCTGAGAAGGAATCTGACACAAAATGTAAGTCTAACAAGCATAACATTATTTAATTGATTTTTTTTAAAGCTGTGCAAACGATGTCCTGAAATTTATGCAAGATTTGAATTAAATAGAAAACAATATTTTTTCCCAATTGTATTTTGTTTTGATTGAAGCAAGAAATGCATACATAGGATAGTTTTATGTATGAAATAGCACATTGAGCAAATGTCTTCTTAGCGTTTGCTGTCACTTCTGCACTCTTTTGTTGAAATTTCTCATGACCATTTTGCAGAAATGGAGCTGTATTTATTTGATGCAGTGTTGAATCTCCTCCATCAATATGGGCTTATTGACAAAGACCTTTGACTTCAAATAAGCTTATAGAAAGAAATATAATGGTGTTAAATCATTTAATTTAGGGGTAAATTCTGATCACCAAAACAAGAGAGCGCATGAGTAAGAGATATATCATATAATAATTGGGTTTTTGTAATATCAATGAAATTTGAAAACACATTTTTTTTCTTGTAGTGTTGCATTTTTACTTACCTTAGATTGCCAGCTGTCAATTTTTGTTGTTGTTATAAATATTAAATAAATGAATGTTCTATTTAAGTTGAATCTTATGTAAATTTTGGGCCACCCTTTAATTGAAAAAGTGAACTTTGAGGTTTGCTACTTGTTCATAATTAATTGTATGTAACTTAGGTATTTTTTATTTTTTTGTTATTTTTTAGTTTTTATACTGTTTAATATTTTCAGAGAGTAATGTTGATTTAAATATTTTTAAAAGGTTTAAAATATATTTAGAATCTTAAAAAGTACTTTTCTTTTTGTATAAATTTTTTTCTTTTAATATTTGTACCAGGCATACATTTTTACATTGCTGCTTAATTATTTGTTCAATATTTTTTATATCATTATTTTTTTTTATAAAATTTTTTATGCTATTTTTTTTTATCATTGCGGACACTTTTTACTATAAATAAATAAAAATTTTAGAATTCAATCAAAGATTACAAATGTTGCATTGATGAAATTCGAATTGTTTTATAATTTGACAGCTGTTTAATTGTAATTTTCTGGTAATGGGGCTAATGAATATATATTAAAATAAAAATTAAATGTTTTCAATCTGGGAAATAATGTCATGTTTCACGATAGACTGAAAACCAATAAATTTGATTAGTGCTGGTCCCTTGGGTTCTCTTGTAAGCACTTGTGGTACTGTGTTATGAAAAGGAATAAAATTTGTCAGTTTGGGTAAGAAATAATAAATGCAATAAATGGATCATGCACAATTTTAAAAATGTTTTATTTGCTCATCATTCATAATATATATTTATAGATTCCTACTAAATATTGTTAAATGAATTAAGTTTTATAACATAGCTAAAAAAAAATAACTGAAAAAAAATTGCCACAAGGCGATCACAGGTTACCCATTGGCAAAATGGTTGTTGTCTAATTTTTTTTGGAAAAGCAATTGTGTTTTCATCTTCAATGTCTTTAACTGTTAATCCTGAACTGCTCGGTACACAATTTCGCAAACATATTTGAATGCAGCTCAGACACATTATGTGTAAATTCTTTCGATGACCGAATAGATATTGAACAGCCAATCGAGATCAATAATCAATATCAACATTTTCGGATTGGTACAATGGTGTTTGATGGAGATTTTAAGCTGCATCTTACGTCCGTTTCGGATTCACAAGTTCATACATGAAATATGATTTGAAAGCTATGCTTTTTTTTCAATTTTACATGAAGAGTAAATGAATGATTTATATTGTGTGGAAGACAGTCTATGATCTTGTGCAAGTTATTGGGTATGTTGACAATGGATCCTTTTATCCCTAACTGGTGATCAACACTCAGTTCTCGTATTTGCATGAAAGTGGTTAGGAGAGTTACCATTCGCTCTTCTGTAGGGTTCAATTCACTCAACCACTCTGGTACTTTTGTGAGGGACGGGCTTCGTTTGGGAGCGGAATCCTTTCGTTTTTCTGTTTGTGTGTAATGCTTAAGGTATTCCCGTTTCTAACTTTTGAGACAGTGTCAATCAGTTTGAACCCTCTTTATTCGTAATATTCCCCTGAATTAGTACTGAAAACGATCCAGTGTGAACTGTAGGCTAGAATTTCTGATTCTTAATTAAAACAGTAAGAAACAAAAATATCGGTCAAATGATGAAATTCTCTTTTATTCACAACTCAAGAAGTATTTATAGGATCTTTCTGGTGCTATATCTTAAAAATAAACTCACCAACTTAATGCATAACAAAATTAAAAGTGAAAAAAAATTCTGAAAAAATTGTCAAACAGCAGCGGTCGCCCTAGCAATGCATGCGTAAACTGTTTGCTATTGTTATGCATAAACTGTTTGCCATGAAATCCAAACCAAGACCCATTTTGCCAATGGGTAAAAATGTTAATGTTTTAGTAATTCTTTTAAAACACTGAATTTCTTAAAACGTTGTAATTCTAACAAATGTATTTAAAATATGATGTTCTACCCGTGCATACTGAAATCTCCAAACATCACAATGGCTTTAACTCATCTTTAAATTTCTGTTATATTTAAGGAATACAAATACAGTAGAGCGCCGATTATCCGAACTGCTTGGGACCGAACGCCGTTCGGATAATTGGAAGGTTGTTTAAAATCTAGTTTAAATGATCATTATTTATGCACTAACTTGCCTTCACACTTTTTCCAGGTTTACGACTGGCAGTGCTATCTAAAATAGCTCTGTTTAAAAAAATTTCAAATTTTAAATATTTGTATTTATTTTTTTTTAAAACTTTTTTTTTCACTTTGAATTTTTTTAATAATATTTCAGCTTTGTAAATTTTTTTTTGTCAATTACTGATTTAACCACATTTTTATTTATTTTCCATTACAAAAGAAATCCAGCAAAGACTTTTGTTTCAAAGAAGATGCTCTTTTTTGAGCAGCCATATCCCTTATTCTTTTAAATAAATCAACTGAACTGGATTAACATCATTTTTGTGTTCTAGTAAATTCATTGCAATATCTAATGAATTGCATGCTTCTATATGAGAAGGTTCACTATTTTGAACTTGATCACCTACGTCTTTCTCCGTGGAGTTCTGATTTTCATTCAAAATTTTAGCAACTATTTCATCATCATTTGAAATACCGGAACGTTTTCAGTGTCTCGACACCAGTCTTCTATTTCTTCTGCTGCATAACCTGGCATCTTTTCATCCGAATGATCTACTTTTTCAGAAATTTAGAAAAATTGTTGATAAGTTAAAAAGTATTCTAAAAATAAATAAATTCGGACACAGTTCGGATAATTGGACGTTTGGATAATAAGGGTTCGGATAATCGGCGCTCTACTGTACATATTTAATACAAATATTTTGTAGTTTAATGAATAGCAATTAATTATTAATGTGCTTACCTAACTAGTCTATCTTTTGTGATTTTTATACATTCTTAATTCTTGTTACAATGTCAAAATATTGACTCAATTTTCATTCAAATGAAAGTGATGACAAAAACGGGAAGAAAAAAATTATTAACAGTTTTCTTGATAATGTAATGAAATGCTTGTGGCAATTTAGTATTGAGTCTTACTTTTTCATAGGGTGATTTTTTTTTTTGTCAAAGTGTCTCCATCAGATAACAGCAAAATATATCGAAATATCTTATGCCTAAATGAAAATTGAAATGTTTTTCATCGCAATATCTAGCTTGCTGAACAATCTTTAAACTCCTCTTCTTTGACTGGTTGGCTTCGTTGACATTAGTTTAAAAATGCTTTTTGTTATAGGTTTGTTATAATTTTCTAACTTTTGAGGGTTTCATTTTTGGCCAAAATATTTAAATAGACAATCTGGACCATTAGACTTTTTTAAATTAAATCTAATTTTATTATTTATGAACATCTGAAGTCTAATACTAGGAAAATGTAATAATTTTTTTAATTTCAACTGTTAAATTATTTTAAAGTATATTTTGTGTTATTTATAATAAGCAGGTTAAGCAAAAAATCATAATTTGTTTTAGAAAACCAAGAGAGTAATATTTTTTATTTAAATCAAATTTTTTAATTTAAATTAGATTTTTTTTTTATTAAAATCAGATTTTTTAAAATTGAATCAGACTTTTAAATTTTTTTTCTCCCATTTACTAGTCATAGCTCTGATAAAATATATTAGAAATGCTAAATATTATTTAATAACAATATTTTAATTAAAATACTTTATATCTCAATAAAATGGTAAAAACTAATAATTTTTACAAACTTATCATTGAATAAATGAAATCTTAATTCATATTCAACATACTCATGACTTAGTAAGCCAAAGATCACAATTTTTCTTTGGACACTTTGTAGAGCTAGAAATTTTTTTAAAAATAAAGCACCAGAACTGTCAAAATTACTTTAGCTTAACTCTAGTATAACTATTTGAATGAAATTTTACATTATTGTTCAATTTGTGGTTAGCTTTGAAAACCACAGACTATCAAAGAGTTAAATATTAAACTTAAATCGAAGAAATATTAATAAAAGAAAGCAATTATTTCAAATTACTCTTAATGAAATAAGTCTTTCTTCATAATATCTATACAAATACTATTTATTTGAAAAGTTTTGAAGTTTGTATTTAAATAAATATGATTGTAATATATTTATTAAACGGCAACTTATTCTGCATGAAATTTATGAAAAATTATAATTTACGTTTTTCATGACTTTTATTCGCATATAATCTTTTTTATTTCTTAGTTTATTTTGAACATCAAATATAAATTTACTTGCATTCTCTGGATAAAACCTTCAATATTAATAAAATTAGGATTTAATAAATTTCCCAACCTTGATATTCTGGTGTATTTCTTCCTTTTTTTTTACCTTTATATTTCTTTTTTTTTTTATGAAAATGAAAGGCTGCTTTCTTATGGTGAATAAATATTTTATTGAATCATGTATTGTTCACTCTGGTGCGAAATTTTTATCAATCTTTCTGGCAGTAGCAAGTTTTGATGGGTATAAAATCTTGACTCTTGGCTGGCAAAAAACTGATCCAGGTGATTTTCGACCTCCTGATTTGAAGTAAAGGTTTTACAGTTTAAAACATTTTGTAGAGCCTGCAACATTGCTGTAGACAGTTCATATCTCATCCCTAGTGTTGATGCGTTTGAAATTTGCTAATTTTCATGAAGTTTGAGAAGGAAATCACTGATGTCGCTACGACAGCACGAATTTCTTTCAGAACAAGACCTGAGAAATCCATATGTCGAGCTTTAAGATTGAACCTTAGGATTTTAAAATGATTGTTAACAGTGGAATTCGATAAATTTAATGTTTCAGCATTATCACAAGTTAATTGCTAGTTTGCATCAATTAATGCCTTTATTGTGTCTTCATTGGCATAAATTGGTGCAGTGCATCGTCAAGCATCTTAATAGAAATGTTGCTGCATCAAACTTTTAAAAGCCAGTTAAGACACTAGCGTACTGCCAGTATATTTTCTGTGTACAAATTGAATAACTTTTTTTTCTTTCTTGAATAGCATTATCTCAATAGTAAAAAGTGTAGTTAGCCGAAAATTCTGATTTTTCACTTTTCATCTTCGAAAGGGCACCAACCAATTGCTACTTCATAGAATCAATTAAACTTTTTGACAAGCAAGCCTTGCTATATCAGCTTTCAAAATATCTAATGATTATGCGACTTAAGTATGAAGTTGGCTGCAAAAAAACATAATTAAGTGCTTTGTTGGGAAAATACAAAATTACTTTACGGACAACTCAATAATATATTCATGAAGACTATTCTTTAAAGAATATTTTCTACTCAAATAAGTGATTTAGATATTAATTTAGATTGTATTATTTAATTCAAATGATTTAAATTAGGCCAATTACAAATGAAGCCGGCCATGTGCTGAGCAGTTAACATGCCTGACTGTGAAGTCAATGGCTGCAGGTTTGAATCCTGCTCAGGACATGGATGTTTTTCTCTGTTGTGTGATGCATGAATGTGACTCACCCTATGAACAGGTATCAGTGGCAGTGTGGTGCGGGCTTGCCTCCTTGACTTAGGTTCAATGGTGATCACAGGATAACAATAAAAAGCAGCACTTCCAAGGCAAAGAAAATATATTCAGTGCCTGCTGTTAAAGGAAAATACGCATAAAAATTAATTATGAAGAAATTTATTAAACTTTATGCTCATAATTTATTTATTGTTTTAAATATTTTACTATAAATATTTTTTACAAAGATAAATAAAATGAAATGCAATGTTAAACCCTCTAAAAGTAAAAACTGTTAAAAGTCCAGAAAAATTTTCTTGTCTTAATATTTATTTATATTAATAACAACAATGTTTATTTATTATACATTAATAGGTAACTCAGAAAGCACAGGTGTGATTGAAGATAATGGAAATGAAAATATTGTAGTTGATAATTCTGTTGGATAAGTAATATTGTTACGCTGGGTGTTTATTGTGATTTTATAAAGTAATTAGATGCAAATTTTTTAAAGAAGATTAAAAATTTATTTATCTTTTTAGTTCAAGCAGATAATTTATTGTTAATGTAATAGCTAAATTTAAGTTATTTGCTGATTGATCAATATTTATATTTTAAGCTTACTTTTTAAACTTTTATTAAAATCATTGTATGTGTCTGTTATTTCTTTATTAATTAATTTTTTAAAATATAATTATTCTGCACATTGCCTTATGAAATATTTATTGTGGTTTGAGATTTCTCTTAAATTTATAACTTTTTTTATCTTTAAAAGTAACTTATGAATGTAATTTAATGTAATGTAATTAAAGTAATTTAAACAAGTAATAAAGTAATTTAAGAAATTTTTTAAATCATTTACTAATATTCACTTATTTAATCAAGTTTATTAAATATAATCAAATTAATAAAGATTTTTATAAAATATCTTTAAAATCAAGACAATTACTGTTTAAAACATTTCTAAGTTTATTGTGTAATTGATAAGCACCTAAAGCGGTTGTGAAACATGCAGTTATGTATTACAGATTCAATGTGAAAGAATTCATTAATGCCATGCATGCAAATGAACTTCACAGAAATTTTTTTTAATGTTTCCTTTTTACATTTTTTAAATTTAAAGTTTTTTAAATAATTAGTTATGTTAATAATTATTTTATAATCAATTAATCATATTAAAAATAAAAAGAAATCTATGAATTTTTTGGGACCAAAATCATTTTAAACTTCTTAAACATTTTCAAATTATAAAAGTTATACCTAGTTTCTTGGGAACTACAACTTAATGATATAACTGTTTGCATTTAAAATAAGTAAACTAAGTTGCTTGTGAAGCCAAACCAATAATTTGCCATAATTGTTGGTGATATTTTATTATAGTTATTGTCTTCCTGCCGTAGATATTAAATGAACTTATATAGGTTTTGTTAGATAAAAATCAAACATTGTTAATTATAAAATATATATTATTGAAATGTAATTCATTTTATTTTTTATTAAATTCACATTTTAACATAACTAGTTCATGATTGTGGGTAAATATATTTGTTTATTATACTACCTCTATTTTATGTCATTTTACCAACCTAGTGTAGGCTAATTAATAATTTCTTTCTGGAGTTTTTGTCCTGTTTAAGAAATATTTTGCAAATTAGGAAGCTGATTTATTGTTCGCTAATACAAGAATTTGTTAAAAAGCTTTATATTTAAAAAAACTCACTCTATTTTAAATACATTACTTTTTTTATTTACATATACTAAATAAATATAGATTTACGTTTAAAAAAGGAATTGAGGTTGCTAATTTTAAAATTTTATTTTCTCAAAGCAAAACAAACGCATTTGCGTAAACTTGATAGTTCTGACTATTTAAATTTTTTTTTATGTATTTTTAAAATGCAAAATGGATTTGTATACTTTAATGATGTGAAATGTTAAAATTTTGAATAGATTTTTAGAAATTATTTTCTAAATTTTTTTTTATAAGAAAAGAAAGGAAAACTTTAATTTAGCTACATTATTACATTTTACCAGTCTATTAAAAGCTAATGAATTACTTTTTTATGCAGTTTTTGTCCTGTCTAACAAATTAAGTTTTTTTTTCAAATTAGGAAGCTGATTTATTGTTAGCTAATGCAAGAATTTGTTAGAAAGTTTTTTTTTTTTTTAATAACTCATGTTATTTGGTGTATATTACTTTCTTTTTTTCGATGGATTTGTTAGTTTGTTAACATAAAAAAAATATTTTCATTTGCATATACTAATTAAAATATAAATTTAGAAAAAGAAACTGAGATTGCTAATTTTGAAATTTTCTTTTCTTTATAGCAAATAAAAAGCATTTGCATAAGCATCTTAATACTGACTATTTGCTTTCATTTTGTGTTGGTAATTCTAAAATGCAAAATGATTTTATATATTTTAATTGTATGAAACATTAAAATTTTGAATATATTTCTAGGAATTATTTCCTAAATTTGTTAAGAATAATAAAAATTTTAATTTAGCTGTATATTTTATATTTTGTTAAAAATTAATTGGGTTAGAAATGATGCAAAAGCAACCCTTTGAAAGATAAAAAATTCAGACCAAAATGTTAGGTTGGAAAAGCAATAGAAACTTTGGTCATCTGTGAACATTCAAAATTAGGATTTCTGCTTCATCTTAAAATTTTTAAGGTTTTAAAAGACTGCATGCTGTTTAAAAAACAAAAACTGTTAGTGGTTTATATTATTGTTAAACCAGCACCCTTCAGGTAGTTAGAACACTGGTTTTGTTAGGTATAAGTTTTAATTGTAATAAGTGTCCATGTTTCCTTTATTAAACAATGATAAGCATTCCTTGTATATTTTGTAAAAAAAATGTGTACTTCTTCAAATTATTTTTTTATAAGTTGTTTTGAGTGGATTTATTTACACTATGTTTATTTGTATAGTGTACTTATACAAATTGTACATATATTTATAAAATGTGCACTAGCAGAAAGCTCTCTTTCATTCTTGTACATATTGATAATTTTGTTTTCTATATATATATATATNTTCTAAAGGGTAAAGTAGAAATTAATAGAAAACATTGAAGTGATCATTTAAATTTAGCATTAAGCTTGAATCTTTAAAAAAATATATATATATATATATATTGTTTTTCAGACTTTAAGAAAGGCAAGATTTATTAGATTTAAACTTGCAGAAGAATTTTTTTTTTAAATTTGTAAGAAAGCATTTTATAGTAATAATTTAGAAGTGCATTGATCAAAATAGTGATTGGGTTTTGACATGCAGTAATACTACCATTTTTCTTGTTGATGTTGAAAATGTTTTTAAATTGACTGCTTTTAAATTAACTCTTTTTCAATTTTAATGATTTAATTGTTTTTTAATTGTTAATATTTTTTTAATTTCCTGTATGGACTGGTGTTGTTTTTATTCCCTAATTTATTTAAAATTATTTGTTGGATTTTTTTTTAATCACTTATATTGTTAACATTATATAAATGTTTGTAAATAAGGAACAAATAAGAATTATATTAAAGTTATTTAAAAAATAGTTGATTTTTTCTTTTACATTAATAAAATTTTTATATAATTATTAAAAATAAGCTGGGGTTAATGAAGCTTTATATTTCAAAGGAAAGTTGTAGGGGGCTATCCAAATATTTTGCAATCACCTGATAATTCCTTGTAAGTTGTAAAAGAAAAAAAAAAAATTGAAAGAAATTAAATTGAAAAAAAAAATTGGAAAGGCAAAAACTAAGTAAGAGGGAGGCACAGTTTGTGTATTTTTAATTACAAATAAAGAGGCGAGGACCAAAATCACAATAAATAAATAATGCCCACATAATAGAATGATCATTCTATTAAAAGATTATAGTATTCTTGCTCTTTCACATATTTTTCTTGCACTTTTAATTATTGTTTTTTTTCTGTACAAAATGGGCTTCTTATTGATGATGTTTTGTATAAATGAAATCAATAACACTAAACATAAATAACAATATCGTGAAAAAAAATTCGCATGTCCTTTTCTGAATAGTTTAACAAAAATTTGATAGCAATGGAAAACAAATTGAATAAGATATCTCTTTCGTGTAATGTCACAAAATAACGTGATTTTCATGAATATTTTTGATAAGCATTTACTTAAAAACTGGCGTCTGAATCCAATAGGCCTATTTGGTAGTTGAAAGGGAAGATAATGTAATTGAAGCTTTATCGTATCACTATAATTTACTAATGGTTGATTGCCCAACAACAACGTTTTCTTTAAATTGTATTTTTAAAATATATATCAGTTAAATCGTTTTTTATTTTACATCCGTCCTTGAACAGCTCACCCAAATTTTGGGATTATGACTACTCATGTCCCACTTCGTAGTCTTGAACCCAATACAGAAGACAAGGAAACTCCTGGATCAATAACCCCGGAGGTATTGATTTGTTATGGGAACATGGAGGACTTAGCGACTAGATTGAGTTAACGTGCATCAATCACCATTTACTACACGGGGAGTCTTCGGCCGGCTGGGATCGAACCCATGAACTCTTGGACATGGGCTCAGTGTCCTACCAACCAGGCTATCCCCTGCCTAGTTATATCATTTTATACCCTTCGTTGAACAGCCGACCCAATTTTTGGGTTTACGACAAGGGCACGAAAAACCGCCCGTTCTCGGCGGTCAAAAATTCCCCCCGGACAACGAATTTCTCGAATCCGACGTCCGCACGGACGGCCATTTTCCCGTTAATGTTCGTGATACATTTTCAATTTTTGTTATCTTACAAGACTCTTTTCAGAAATGAACTTGCTAAAAAACAAATTACGTACTGGTCTTAAGCAAGAAGCGTTAAACGCAATTATGAACATCTACTTAAATGGAAAACCCCTTTCAGATTTTTGTGCAGAAACCTCGGTAAATCATTGGCTTGATTGTGGAACTGGCAAACGTCATATTTAATCATTTAAAAAACGTAGTACCCTCGGATAAATTGACATTCCAGATAATTTGACCCTCGTCATTTAAATTATTTCCTAAAAGAAATACTAGGTTACTATTCGTAACCTAGTATTACTTTTATATCTGTATAATGTAATCCTAATATTTGTAATCCTAATAACTACTAATTCATTATGCAATTCATATAAATGTTTGTAATAAATAAGAGAAAAATATGTTTTTATTTATTTAGAAGCTACGGGTTAGTTTCAAAGGAGGACGGGTACATTGTTGGGCAAGCTGATTTCGGGGACGGGTAAAATTTCTGAGTTTTTTCGAGCCCTGGTTTACGACTACTAATGTTTAATTCCGCAGCCTTGTAATTTTGAACCAATCCATGGAAACTCCTGGATCAGTACCCCCCCCAGAGGTATTAATTTGTATTGGGAACATGGAGGACTTTGCGACTCGACAGACTTAACGTGCATCAGTCACCATTTACTACACGGGGAGTCTTCGGCCGGCGGGGATCGAACTCTTGGACATGGGTCCAGCACCCTACCAACCAGGCTATCTCGGCTAGTTAAATCATTAGTTCAAAATGGTAGTGT